GGTGACGTAATTTGATTAATGTTCATTTTTATATCGTCAACTTATCTCACCATTGCCATTATTATTATTATTATTACACTTGATAACCTTTTCGAGAAATTTATTCAACATTCAATCTTATCTATAATATCCAATCTAATTTATATTATTCTATATATTACGTAATTTCTAAATTGTAATTACATTATTCTCTCCCTCTTGCCCCATATTGATCATATTTATTTTGATCATTTATCTCACAATTTGATTTCACTTATAAACTGATTCAAGTTAACAACTTTATATTAATCAACCCTAATATTAACAATTTGATTTGATTTTAAATGATATGATGATCTGGATTTATGATTGTAGAATCTGATTAGAAATTCATTGAAAAGAATATTCTTCGTTCATAAGAATTGTGTTATGCGATTAAAATTGTTTTATTAAAGTCATAAAACTTAGGGCCTAATGATAATGCTTTTAACTTATTCTTATCTAGCATAACACTAGAAAAATTGTGTACATACTGATCTAGATTAGATGGAAATTTCATTTCCGGAATGTTTGTCTAGATTTTTTATTGGGTTTCATTCTTTTCTTTTCTTGAATTAACAACTAGCTCAACATAGTTCAGATATTTTTCTCTTAATTTATCACGGAGCTCTTCTACCGCGTAAATTCTCTCGTTGACATTTTTTTTATCATCTCGGCAATATATAAGTTTAGAGAATCGATTTGATTATAAACGCGTAGCGTTTGAGAGTCCTACCATTTGGTTGAATTCTAGAGCGACGTAAAGATTTCCAATATATTTTTGGATACAAGTTGGTTTCTATGCACTCCTTTATAAAATCAACATTTGTCTTTCCTTCACTGAGCCTTGCGCTATACTTCAGATACTTTTTGAGAACATTTAATGCAACTGTTTGCTCAGAACGTTTCAATATAGTGAAAATTGTAATTGAAAAGGAAAAGTTCAATGTGATAAGATAAAATGTTAAAATTAATATGAACTGTAATCAGGAGATTTCATACCAAAGAAAATTATTTATATGAATATTGATTTCAAAGAATGACGTAGCTACAGACATCTTGAAAATGAGAATTTCCGTTTCTCTATCTCAATAGAACGTGCTTTGCAAAAACTTTGCTATTAGCAAGAATCGGAAGGATAAATTACCCCATGTATATTATTCAGTTTACTTGTTCATGTAAAGACAGGCGTATAGGTTGTTCGATGCGTATCACCCGACCTAACTAAAAAAAAGTCTGAAATAGCTTAATAATCGAACACTTTGTGGACGTAGGTCATTCAATCAAAATGAACTCTGTGTTCATAGTCATCTACAAGGTAGGAAGAAAGCTGCCAAAAGCATTTAGCCTCCATCATCTCAGCACTGTCGAATCATTTGGAAAGACTAGAAATATCTATACAGAAGGAACTTGTACAACCTTTTCGCCTATTATGGTCTTGAGCTCTTGTTTTTTCATAGTTAGCTGCCTCCCTTCTATCTTTTCTATAGAACGTTTACATGCAACTAATTTGGTCCTGCTTCTATGATCCATCCCGATCGTAATTGCATCTGACCCAGATTGTTGTGGACCTCAGTTAACTCCGTGTATTATATTTGTATATTTATTCTATCCTGAATATTTTATAAATTGTCTTATTCCGTTATTATAGAAAATGGAAAGTTGTACTTTTGTGTTATTATTAAATATAAATTATTCGCCTAACTTACAACTTCTTGCCTTATTTGTTTCTTATAGCAGAACAGGAAGTGAGTACATTAAGACTTATGCAGTCAAAGTAAAATAAAATGTTTTATGGTACTTAAGAATATTAACCTCAGTAATCATCTAGCGCTTAACCAGAGTTCGTGAATAACGAACCCCAGAAAACCAGGGTGCTTACAAACTTGAATCTGGATGTATTGACTAACTATTCGCTATTTTTTAGGTTCTGAAATTTAAACATTAACTGCGGATGGCCAATTACACTGGCATTTCTCGAATTTTAAGCAGCATTTGACTGCATTAATCGACAGGATTTATGGGAGTGTCTGTCATTGAAAGACGTAGCAAAACTACATAAATCTTATCAAGATTGTTTACTCGAGCGCTACTGGTCGAGTCAGAGCTAATAGTAAACTTTCATCGTAACTGACAACTTCTAGTGGTGTTCCTCAGGGTTGCCCACTTCCATTTTCATCTAATCTTGTCATATACATTCTTTTAGAGATAATTGTTGTCTAGGCTTCCAGGGATCTTCTCTACTACTACTGGTACTATCACTACTTTTACTACCACGGGATTTATGTTGATATGATGAGGCAACTTGAACCAACGTACATATGTGCCAGGTCCTATGTTGCCTATGACCGACTGACTACAGTACTTGGTCTCGTGTACATATATTATATGATAAAAATGGATTACGAAATGTATGGATTCATATCTGCTATCATTTATATTTGAAATATACTGTATACCGTTATGCAATATCCTTAACAAAAAGATTAGCTGAAAGTACATTGGATTCCATACTTTAAAGGCACTGATCATATCGTAATTATTCATCATAAAATAAAGATTACCATACATACTGTAGTCCAATAATTACTGCGTTTCTTGTTTGTTCTTTAAACTTGTCATTGATCAGGGAGTCGTGGCCATTTCTAAGTGTTTTACCGTTTGTAATCCGTATTCAGTTAAAGAAAGAAGAACCTTACACCTTAGTTCAGCCAAAGACAACCTCCAAACGTCTGTAAAACTTGCAAACAAAAACTAGACAGTTCGGTGTTGAAAAACTGTTAAATTAATAAGTGAATAAGATTTCAGTTTTTGTAATAGGAGTGGATTACTAGGAGAGTTTTAGCGAGAGCAACGACACACTAAACAAGTTTTTAGTATATGGGTATTTGTAGAGATTGCAGAATTTTCAGTTTAAGTCAAGAACTGATTTCAATTTGACCAACATTGAAAACCTGGGAGCAACGGATAGCCATTATATCCTAGTGTATGACTTCTCATTCGGGACCCTCACGGATGTGTACGGTTGAGAAGTCTCATACTAGGACGAACCGGCCGTCCTATACCTCCAGGTTTTTATTGTTGGTCTAATTTTGATCAATCCATGACTTCAATGTGATCCATTTCTACTGTTATTGTAAACATTGCCCATGACTAGTTTAAAGAAGTCATTTGAGATAATTAACAAACAACCGTCCAGTGCTATCAGGTTTTTAATGGTGGTCTAACATTGATAGATTCATAATCTCAATCAAAATTTCTATAGATTAAGAGAAAAATCAGTTTCTTGATAACATTGTAGAGTGTGGCAATAGGCAGCGCGTGCTTGAATCTAGTTTCTAAAATCCCAGACATATATCTAACAGTCGGCCCACCGTGGTGAGCTGGTGGACTTATATTAGCCTTACCATATCAGCAAGTCCAGTTGAAAGGTGTTAAGACTAAAAGCACCTATTTTGAAGCTAGAGGGCCAAGTTTTACTGCTGATTGTACTGGAGTGTGACTCCAGCAAGGTATTTCCGTCGGACAATTAGAATATACGGCGATGCTGCATCCCCACAATGGAAGGAAGGTGTTACAGAAGGTGGGTTCTAGGCGAAATATACCTCACCTTGTCCCACGGATTTCTACCGCTAAGGATAAAGCCTTAAGAGTGTAGAGCTTATACACTAAGAACTATTTATGAAAGAGCTATATGTGAACCGCGTCCAGTAGTTTTCTCTTAAGCCATGTAGCTACACTCCTAGGTCACTAAGACCATCCTTTAATCTAGTTCCTTTTTTTAGGTTCCCCAATAATATCCTTACACAGTATGGATAAAGTGGAACATCACACATTTACAAACACAGTTGGGAATCGTTGAAAAATCATAGAAGTTCCAATTAATGAATCTGCTATCATTAGTCATGTAGGATCTGGCACGCATATGTGTGTATCGATTCAAGTTACTGATAGAAAAAGACAAATAAATGATATGAAATTAAGAGGAAGACATGGAATGCATACGTCCGTAACACTGCAATCTAATCTACAGTTTTTTATTTTATTTTAACACATAGATATTGGTACAGTGAGGCACCAAATACATATGCGCCACACAAATCTCATTCGATATGTATGAGGGCTGTGATACTGCCCGGGTGCCCAAACCGAAGCAGGTGGTTTTCTTAGGAGGCCACACCCCGAGCCTTCGACCTGAAGGTCTGATCCACAAGGCAGTGGAGCACCGTAAGAAAATGCAGTCCCATGGTAGCCGGTGACAAACAGTTGGTTCATACGCTATTTGTTCCCGCAGGATACTGGAGCCCATGTGCACCATTGGTTTGGAATCCGGTTAAAGCGCCGGACATTCGCTTTTCGTCCTCTCAATTTCGTAAACAACAGTAATGCTGTGAGAAGGCAGTGAGTAGGACTTCCCTGGCAGAGGCTATATACGCGTGGCCGTGCGAGATCATTTCGAGAGGGAGGGCAGACCCACCCCTCTCTCGGCCGTACCAGGGATTTGGGGGCTACTCTACAGTCAGCCTAAAACATTCAGTCAATTGAATAAAAATGAAAACAAACGATATTTCTTGTGATATATGTATATTTGAATTCATTGTATATAATGATTACCTTTAATTTAATATGAATGATATTATACAATTAGTTACAGATATTATGTAAATCTCTCTAAATAATCAAAACAATTCATTGATTAGACCATAAGTAGGTTTGTATTTCAAACCAGATCCTAGCGGAGGAAGAAGCGCTGACAATGGATAGGACATATATTGAGGAAAGCACCCAACTGCGTTACAAGGCAAGCTCTCACATGTAATCCTCAAGGTCAAAGGAGAACAGGAGGAAGAACCAAAGAACATATTACACCAATAAATAGGAAGGCATATAACAGAGTGTGGATTGGAGAATACTGGTTGGTGGCTTATACTCCATTTGGAATAACAGGTATAAGTAAGTAATTAAAAAAAGAAAAGTAAAGTTTATACTTTAGAATTATGGATATATTTATGTTTTCCTTTTATAATTAATCTATTTCCATATAAACTTTCAATATCATTTTCACTGTCTAATGAATGAACTTCATCTAATAATTTAAATATAGTAGAAATAGATCCTTTCCCTGTTATTATTGATTCAACATCATCAGTCATATGATACTGATGTTGTTGCTGTTTTTGATCATGATCATTATCTAAATGAGTATTCCTTAAATTATCTTTTATCATCGTAATAGATTCATTATTATTATTATTTAACGGTTTTTTCATATTTTTTACATTATCTATCATATTTAAATGATTGATCATTGAATTTTGAATATTGTTTAAATCATCATCATCATCACCATCATTACTATTATTATTGATTGGTTGTTGTTGATATTGATTTAATTGACGTAATTTCGATTGAAGTCTATTACTTAATTCAATTAATGATTGTTTTTCTATAGATAATCGATAAATTTGTTTAATTGCTTTAAATAATTTATGATCATTATCATTTATGATTGATAATTGAGCAAATTGTTTCGCTTGTTCTGACATTTTATTTATTGTTTGTTTTAATTGTATATTTTCATTTTCTAATTGATTACAATGATTTGTAATAGAATTTAATTGTTCAATAAGATGATCATGTTGATTATTTTGATATAAATAAAGATTAGGTTTTATTAATAATGCTTGTTTTAAATCATCATTAAGATGTTTTATTTGTATTTGTAACATTTTTATATTATATTGAGCATGTTGATATTTGATTTTTTCTTCATTCCATAATTTGTGAATATTTTCAATTTGTTGTTTTAATTGATTCAATGATTCAATTAAATGTTGTTTATCTATTGAAGTGAATTCACTTGTTCTTCATAATTAGTAGTGATAGTGAGTATTTTTTCATCAGAATTTTGTAATGTTAATCTATAATTTTAAATAAGAGATATTTTCAGAAAGGGTTTTGTGGAGATTTTAGAAAGTTCACAGATTGAAATTATGAGTCAATTGAAGTTAGACCATCATGGAAAACCTGGAAGCAGTGAATAGCCGTTTCGTCCTAATATGGGACTCCTCAGTGGCAGTGCACACTCACGATCCCGTACCCCGCGAAGTTAGACATGAACACCATTTGATACCGGCTCAGTGGTCTAGTTGGTTAAGCGCCCGCGCGCGAGACTGATAGGTCCTGGGTTCGAATGTCTCGGGAGGCGGGATCGTGGATGCGCAATGTTGAGCAGTCCCATACTAGGACGAAACGGCCGTCCAGTGCTTCCAGGTTTTCCATGGTTGTCTAGCTTCAATTGACTCATGATTTCAACTATTGAAATTTGTAAAAATCTCCACAAAACACCTTCTGATAATAATCATCTGCTCACTGGTGACTGACTTGAAGAGGCATTTTCTGGAGTTCTAGTGAGAAGCCGTTACCAGTGGAGTTCAACTAGGTCTGTTGTGAGATATCAACTCACTGAAGGCAATGGTGTACGGTGGCGCAACTTCGTGGATTGGTTGAAGTTAGACATTAACACCATTCGATACCGGCTCAGTGGTCTAGTTGGTTAAGCGCCCGCGCGCGAGACTGATATGTCCTGGGTTCGAATGTCTCGGGAGGCGGGATCGTAGATGTACACTGCTAAGGAGTCCCGTACTAGGACGAAGCCGCCGTCCAGTGCTCCCACGTTTTCCATGGTAGTATAGCTTTAATTGACTCACGAAGTCACCTACTAAATTTTTAGATTGGTTATTTTCAGCCCGATGGTTTATAAATCAAATTTCTAGTCCTCATCATACAATAAAAAATCTTCACAGCAAATATTCAGGATGCATTATTCACAAAACAAAACAAATATCATGAGGTGACACCAAGGTAAGAATAAAGAAAACATTCACTAAAAATCCTGAAACACATCTACAACCTATCATAAACTATTGAACACTACCTTGATTGTATGTTTTTCTTTGGGAGATAAAGATAGAGTAAATATAGAAACATATCGAGGTCCAATCACAAACGTAAAACTTTAAAAAAAAAACCCAACTAGTTTCATGTAGTCCATTTATTTAATGTAATCAACTGTGGCCAGTGATGAGAAACATCTTCAAATCTATAAAATTCAATTACATCCAGACCGAACCCGTAATGTTTATCATGATGAACATGTAGTGTCTAGTCTTATGTCACGCCGATATGGGTTATTTTAGCTTATGCACTGACCAATTACTTTATTCCTCTTGAGTCACATTTTGACCTTGTCAGTTATTTGCCTATAGCCTTGACTATTTCTATTTGAGCTTCTGTATTACTTATCGTATTGATCACATGTCTTTAACTTATTTTTGTCTGGTTATAAATACCGAATCACTCTTTATCAAGACGAGTTGGTATGCTTACCTTCTCCAGTTCGCTTTCCTGCTTCTTGTGTTAATATCTGTCTGAGTATTAGAGTATTAAAGAATAACGGTAAATCAGTTGATAAGGTTGTAAATCTTCATCGACTGAGATGGTTGGGCCACGTATTACGGATGTTTAAACACCGATTACCATTACGCACAATGCTGACTAGTGTTGGACACGGTTGGAAGAAAGTTAGTGGTGGCCAAACCAAAACGTGGCATCGGTCCTTGAAGTCCCTAATTCCTAGTCTTAGCCATATTGATAGATGCAGACCACTTGGTTGGGGTCCGCGTGACTATCGTAACCAATGGCTGGAGACTCCGTGTGATATGGCTTAGGATCGATCACAATGTTGTCGGTGTATACACACTCTCTCTCTTGCGTTAAACCATGAGATTAAAATTGCTTTATATCTTTCTTTCTACGAACTAAATCTTTCTTCCTGTACTATGTCCTTATACACCATTGAACTAACTGCTTCTGTGAATTTGGTGTTCATCTTGTCGTGCTAATAAGGTGTGGCAACGTGGACCGATGCATATACTGCCTGATCCTACGTTGTAACTGACTGACAGGGGAACTTAAAAAGTTTTACGTATAAATTTACACAAATGAAGAACGGAGTTTTTCTGCAGAGTTTTGTTCGTTACATAAAAAGTGAATTCAAGTAGTCTCCAACTTGTAAAGAACATAAAGACATTGAATCTATGACTTATGTTTGGGTTCTCCATGGCTATCATGTACATGTGTAACTTGAAGTCTGTTTATATATATATGTAATTCTGATTATCCCAGAATGTCGTGTGTACTCTAGGCAAATGTAGTGCTTATAAACTTACTTCAGTTTATCAATTTCTTCTGTAAGCTCAGCTTTTTGTGACGTTGCTAGTTCTTCGTTTTGAGCTTTAGTTGATTCAAGTAACACCTGCTTCAATTTGGATTCATTTAACCGCGTGTGCAAATCTTGAATTTCAAGCCTTTGTGATTCAATTGTTTTATTCATTTCGTTTAATGTACAGTTTAAATTGCATATTTCTTCCTCCTTAGATGATAATTCTTTTATATAATCATGTTTAGTTTTATTAGCTAGTTCAACAGACTCATTTGCAAGATGGATACGTAATTCTAGGTCAAAGATTTTTTGTGCAGTATCAGCTCTGAGTCTTTCTTTCTCTTTCACTGCGTCGTCGATTGCAGTCTGCAGTTCAACAGCGGCATGAAGTCTTTCCTTCTCAAGTTCTGACTGAAGACGATTAATATTGTTTTGCAATTTGATGCGTTCTTCAGTTTCAGTTTTTCTTAATACCTCAATTATTGCATTGTGTTTTTCCAGTAGCTTTTGTTCTCGTTTGACAGTTTCGTGGAGAGATTCTTCAATGTCCTCTCTTAATTTTGCTTCCGATGATTTCACCTGTGCAAGCTCTGATTGTGTACGATCTAAGGAAACTTTGATTTCACTAATTAGAATATCCCTCGAATGAATATTCTGTAGGAAAAACAAACAACAGTTAATTATTGATTAAAAGAACCCTACGTTACTTATTGACTCGTGAAAACTTATTGTATAGACAGCGTGATTCGATATGGAAAGAAAAGTAGATAAAATATGATGATAATAATATTTGACGCTTTTGTATATGTTTGGATGATCAGAACGGCGATAGTTACCTTTTGATAATCGTTGTGCCAGATCACATGTTAACTGAAGTTAATAATCTGAATTATTGGTCTCATACTCTGGTTTAGTTGTAACACACTCGCAATGTGACTAGAAAGTTTTGAATACGGTACATCTCAAAGTTGTGAGTGAATATTGTCAAAGAGTTCTACACTAAAAAGAAACGGTTGATAACTAGCTTTTTGTGCGAGACTACAGTTTATGGATGAACCAGTCAGATTTACGACAACAGGTCTTGGATTTCGGCGCGAAACTTTTCATCCATTTGAATAAATAGCGTTTTTGCATTTTAGCTTATGTCAGTTCATGATGAAAATCCAAAGTCTATTTCCTAACCCTAAACATCAACTGTAAATCATAATTCTAATTCTTCACACGGTTTAACAACACTCATGTAATCCTAGTTAGTAGGTGGTCATTCTCAAGGTCACTTTAGCGTCGCCGTAAGATCGTCCACAGATTAGTCTCGCCGCTTTTCGTCTACAATCATATCCTATCTGTTTATTTTTAAAAACAGTTGTTTAGTCTGATGAAAAACTTCTGATATCTTAACCAGTACTGACTGGGACGTCTCAAATATGTCGCCCTTAAATGCTCTGGTACGGTCGAGGATGGGGTCAGCTCTCACATGGTCACACGTATACAGTCACTGCCAGGGAAGTCCTACTCACTGCATTCTCCTGGCCGAGGTGTTATTCATGAAACTGAGAGGACACAAAAAGAATGTCCATCACTTTAACCATGTTGGTAGACACGGATGGTCCACCTAGGGAGGTTAAAAACCCTGATTCCAAACCAATGGTGCACATGGGCTCCAGGATCCTGAGGGAACAAATGGCGCCCGAACCTATTGTTGGTCACCGGCTGCTATGGGACTGCACTTACTGATGTTGCTCTACTGCCTTGTGGATTAAACCTTCAGATCAAAGGCTCGGGGTGTGGCCTCTAAGAAAACCACCTGCTTCGGTTTTGGCACGTCAAATATTTTTGGATTTTCTACTGGTCAATCTAATAGACTCTTTATTCACTTAAATATCTGTCACAACCATCGTCTGTATGATTTAGATTTATGGCAATTTTTAGGAAGGAAAACAACCCTACGAAAATACAAAGAATATAGTTATTCGTATTGATAAATATATTCCTGTTTCACAGGAAAATGCTAGTGGACAGTCTTTTAACGATAGTATGAAGTAAAAAATATATTTATCTCAGCGTCGACTTTTTAGTTAAAGCCGTCCACTTGTTTTATTATAGTCAACATAAAAATAAAGAGTAGTCACGTTAATTCACTTCGAGGAGCATGTATGGAATGTTTTGAATAAAATGCAAAATGCCTTTGTTCGTCGAACACTAATAACAACTTAGCAGTGTTGGTAATCAGGTTTGGTACACTCAGTGTCATTTTTGAATCTTCATCTTTTGTAACACATGTCGTTCTCCACAGCAAGCACAGTCAGTTAGGCTTGACCCCTACACTTATCTACTGTTAACTTCCTCAGTTTGTGATTCTCAAATACAAAAATGTAAATGTGAAGCCCATATCAGCGTGGAGAAAAAACAGCACGCTAAAGGGGACATAGAATACATAAAAACGAGGGCGTTAGCAGTTATAAATAGCTCAGTACAGTCAGAATGTATATAAGTTGGATTGTATCTCGTTGGAAAACAGAAAAGCTTGGCAAAATAGAAGGCCTAAGACAATCTGACAGTGATAGAGGTCCTGTTGAAAATAACAGGATCAGTAAACAAATAAAACATTAAACCACGAAATTTATCAGAATTGTTACGCTACGTATACCTCATGACATTTAAACTATTTTCAGATTTGTGAAAAGAACCTCTCATAACTAATTCTTAGAAAAGTTAGTTATAGAAGCATCGCGCCATCGATTAAGTTTTTGCAAGACGAGAGTAGGAGGCTTGCTTATAAACGGCGAGACTATAATTTATGGACAACCTTTGAGCGACGCTGAAGTGACCAACTACTAATTAGGACTAAATGAGGGTTATAAAGCAGTTAGAATTTTCATTTACAGTTGATGGTTAGGGTTAGAAATTAGATTTAAGGTTTTCACCACGAACTGAAATCAACTATAATGCCGAAACTATATTTAGAAAAACGTACGGATAAATTCCGCACCCAACCCCGTGACTTTTTATCTTATATCTGATTGTTTCGTCCATAAATTGTAGTCTCGCTAAAGTCAGATGTGTCGCCAATTTTAGGCATTATATTATTATCAGATGGGTTTTGTGGACATTACAGTAATTTCAATCGTCATATATTACTGAAATCATGGATAAGAATTTCTAACATTGATTAGAGAAGAGACACGTCCACTAAGTTTATTAATCGCCAGATCTCGCTCCTTGATTAACCGAAAATTAAAAATGAAGTCACGTTTTAGTTTTTCAAACTGTGATGTTTTAAGATCGAGATTCTTTTGAAGTTGATCAGAATTGACTTTAAGTTCATTAATTTCATTGTGCAGTAGTTGTTTTACTTCAATATCCTTTGCTAAAACTAAGTTCAGATGTTACTGCAGTAGAATATAATTATATATACCTTCATCTAGTTTACTATTACCAAGACTTCCAGATGGAGCAAACATGGTGTATATAGTGACAAAATTACGTCAATAATTAACTAAGTAATATCAGGCATCATTAGACCCGTATTTCAATCTCTCCAACATTGATGACCTTGATAATGTTTACAATGCTTGATTTACCGCTTTACACACTTAGTTAACACCGAAGGATGTTCAAAACATTTACAATATCCAATATGTTCACCACGAGCTTGTATAAACTGATTGACTTTTTGCTCTCTCTTCTTTGTCTCATTACGGTTTATGGTATTTGACAATGTCCAGGTGGTGGTAGTCTAGTCCTCGACTGCAGTAATTCCAGTCAGTTATTTGTGGATTTGTATTTCTTGTAGTTTGAGCAAATGTATTTGTCTAAGGGCAGTATGATTTCTGGATACCAACAGCTATCACAAAACCAGGCAGGGGGTAGTTGATTTCAATGTGGAGATAATAAAGTGCCATGAGAAGGAGATTATTTTGTGAGTAAATAAATAAATTAATTAAATAATCGGTAGTTTGTAAGAAGACGAAAAGGAAAGAATAAGAGGGGAAACAGAGATAATATTAAGAGAGAAAGAAAGTAGTTACTGATTCGCGGTAATGATAACTGTGGAAATTTTTAAGACACTCGTCAGATGCACCTGGTCCAAGAGGGAGATTGTAACCCATGGGCAAGTAAGTGTTTGTCAAGTCTTCTCTTGAAGCCATCCACCGAAGAGGCTGTGGTCACTTCGGCCGGAACTGAATTTCAAATAGGAGCAACTTTTGGTGGGAAAAGTTGAAAGCGCACTTGGCTTTTTGTTGTTTTGTGTGCAGTCTTTCTAGGATTACCTTGGGGAATGTGGTGGTGTTCTTAGAAGATGCTCGTATCAGGGTGGCTTATCGTACTTAAAATGTTGTATGCCATTGTTGGACAACTTAACTGCCTGTCGTTCAACAAGAATAATCCCAGGTATTGGAGTCCGCCCTCGTAAGATTTATGATTCGGAACTCTAATCAACACAGTCGCTCGTATCTTTACTCGGTTTAAGATATTTATATCTCTTTTGAAGAGAGGAGACGGAACGACATAGTGAGATTTACAGTGAGGCGATGCCTACGTTTCAAACACTGTCAATGACAACTCCGAGGTGGTTGCTCAGAATTGTCTTCGCACAAAGTGAGGAGTTGCGTTTGTCGTTATGACATCCTCCATCTAGTTTGAGCTGGTGTCTAAGCTCTCTGCGGTTACTTACCCGAGATCGTTCTCTGATCAGAAAGTTGAGAGCGGTTTTCCGTGATGAAGTAAGGTTTTTCTGCCGAATGAGATAGAATGTTTATGACACGATATTTTAACGTGTCACTTTTGAACCCATTGTCTATTGCTCACTTCTGTATTGTTATAAGGTCCTTTTGAAGCTCAAGTGCATCCATTTCGCCTCTTATGGACCTCCAGATCTATGCGTCGTCTTCATAGTTCACTCCTGCCAAGCTAATCTCATCTGAAAGGTTGCTAGCATAGATCAAGAACCGGAGTGTATTCAAAGTTTTTCCTGGTAAAACTCGTGATGCTGAGATCTTCGGAGCCAGGATAAAAGTGAGTTAGTTAAACCCATCTCTTCAACTTACACCATGAAAAGTATAAGAGGTACTGTGCCAAGGGCTTTACCAAAATCAAGGAATATAGCGTGAATCTATATTTTATGGTCACGGAAAGTCGTCCAGCTTTCCCATACTATCAGTAGACTGAACACACAGGACCTGTTTTTCCTGAACTCGTGTTGAGCTTTCTGGGAAATGTTGTTTTCATGCATATATTCCCTCATTTGTTCACCGACTAGTACTTCCAATACTTTCGACGGTATTAGTCTGTAACAGAGTGGGTCTTTTCTACATCCCTCTTCGAATATTGTGGAGAGATTAGCCTGCTTCCATTCTCTTGGATGTTGAATATTTATTTTCTGAGTAGTCTCGTGTTCACAGCTTTGTGGATTGTGTGGCTATTGTCCAATGCCACTACACTACTCTCCCACCAGAATCAACGTGATGTTGGTTCGATACCAAATTGGATGGGATCGTCGCGCGCCGGAGGTTGCCAAGGATAATAAGAATCCTCCGGGTATTGGTAAGCTGAAAGATAAATCAAAAAGAAGGCGGCAGCATCTGGTCGGGAAATTTATGTAATAATATTTTAAAAAAATCTGCCTTCATGCTTAACACACTTAAAATGACAATTTGGGTGAAGATGATTTGAGCTATAAAAAATGGGATTATAATATAATATTATAACGATGCGTGTTAATAGCCGTTGGTTAATAACTTGACATATAGGTAGTAAGTATTTTGTGTTTAGAAATATTAAAGTAATGAATATTGTAGAAATGTTAATATTGGTATTAGTTTTGGTTTAAATTATGAAACCAATTAACAATTATGCCGGTAACCCGTCCATATGTGATTTCCAATTGCATCTGTATTAGTAGGCTAACTGAAAGAACAAAAGTATTACCATGGAACAGAATTCCAACTAGTGTTCCAGTTAGTTTGATACGGTTTATTTAGTTACGGGGAGATTTTCTCAACCTCATTTTTACTTGACCGTGATAGAATTTAGTAATACTACTAATACACATGAATGGTTACCAAAATAAAATTCAAATACGTGAGTGATAATTATATGAATTTTGGACAGATAGCTAGGAACAAATCGCTAAACATGAGTGTATTCGTAAGAGACATTCTCTAGCCTCAATGTTCTGATCTGCAGACTATTTACTTGTATTTATACTTGCTGGCTGATTGGGCATACAAGTTAGTTGCAAGTATGCAGTTTATCATAAGGCGAAATACGATTAAATTGAGATATAGTGGTTATAGGTTATTAAAATCAGTTAGGCCTGTGTCATATTACGAAGTGATGTGGTGCTGCAAGATGTATTTAGCTAAATAAGTTTTTACAAGATGATTAGTAGTGAGTGATGCTCATGTGATTAACAGGGAGAACATAAGTTGTAACCAAGGGGAGTACACTCCCAACTCATGTCTATGATAATGGCTTGAACCTTAGTCAGTGTTGGGGTAAATTCGACATTGATGTTTTCAGTTTACAGGAGATTTGCTCGACTGCTTATACTGATTATTTGCATGCATGATTGTGTCGCTAAACCATCAATTAGACTGACAAGGTTTTGAGATTTTTACTGAATGAGCAACTGATAGAGAAACATACTGTAATCATCTGTAGTGAATGAAGATAAAAGAAAAACAACACTAGTGATAATTATAAGTCGATTTGAAGACCGGTTATGTTAATAGTTTCATTAATATTATCAATCATATTACGTGATTGTCAAGTTATGACAATGCTTTATGACGATATCCTGAAACTATTAAATTTAACTAGTTATAGTGTTGATTAAGGATTAGTCAGTGGAAAAATAGGTATTGTTGCTTTAGGTGATTCGAAATCATCAGAAACTTATAACGTTAAAGAATCCGGGACGCCTAATTTAATTATAAATTTCAATTCAGAAATATTCGTTTAGTGTTAATTTTAGTAGGCTACGGAGTTTTGATTTTAAACGTTTGTTTAGTCAACAGCTACCTGGGGATTTGGTTATTTTACTAGTGCAGTTGACAGTACCTAAATTTTTAATCTTATTATCTAAACTATGTTCGCATTTTAGGCTGCTAATATGACAAACCAATCCATAAACCCAAATACGATTAGCAACAACGACTATGATGGGTTTATTGATAAATGTTAAAGGCGATTCAGATGATTTCTAAATTTAGAAGACATGGAGATATAGTGCAACGTATGTATGGGCCAGGTTAACATGCAGGTTGTTGACGTATATGACGATTTAAAAATAATGAACATGACCAGAAAATAGTTTTAAAGTTTAGACTGCTTGTGAAACTTCAGGCAGGAATATGATGCGTTATAAACATTCCATAAGGAGTTACTGCATTTAGCCTAGGGACACTTACAAATATATAGCAAAAGGAACCGGAAAACATATACATGTTAAGTAAAAAAAATCATTAAGTAAAATAGTTGAACTCGCCTGGGTTATTTTTGAAAATTAGATTATTCAGTGGACGACATATATAACGCCATTCGTGAGTAGTATTGATCCAAAAGCATCCAGAATAAAACATGCAGTATGGCAATTAATTCCAGGGTGCTTGATGCTGTTGAGGTTTTTGACACTCGCTCGGATCAGAACAATCGAATGAATCCAGATAATTGTATGGTTGTCATTGAACGAACCATCTAAAAATGATTGCAGAAAACTTATAGCTGAAACTCACCGTATGTTTTTGGAGTAGTCATCCTCGTTGTTTGGCAATGGAACTCGAGAATATGAAATTAGGCAGGCAGTGGTCAGAAGAAAAGATATTACAGGATAGTGCATCGTTTTAAAACAGGATGAGGTGTTAAGTGAAGGAACACTGAGAATTAGATCCACATAACTATTTAGTCCTTAATCGCATTGTTAGTCAATGTATATTTACGCTATTTACAGGTCATATTTGCTAGAGCTTGATGTTTAAACAAGACTATGTCGCTGAAGCATGTAAATGCTATTACAGCTTGTTAACAAACCATCAAAGCTAATTAGTTAATATAGACGACCAGTTTTTATTATCAATTGAGCTAGTTTGTCATGAGGACTAATCAATATAACATTACAATGATGCATGTGAGCATTAATCAGAGGACTATTAGAATATAGTGTTAACATAAATATAAAATCGATCGAGAAAGTTGAAGTGGAAATAAGGATTAATAATAATAGGTTGCGTTTCTTTAGTTGGGCTCACCAATGTAGAATTATGGTCTACTATGATATTAGTACTGCTCTAACAATAGACCTAATCCTAAATTTGTAGATTCGTCATGATATAACTGCCTAATCTATAAGATCTTACGTGGAAGTCACACCATCGACTACGCCAACTCACTGTATCGTATCAATTACCAATACATGATGAAGAACGAGGTTAGGTTAGAGAAAGAACAATATATTTAATAT